CGTGCATGCTGCTTGACAAGTGTGAATAGAAAAATCACAGAAAATACAAGCAATAAAGTGTGGCAAAGGCAATTTAGGATGAAGCAGGCACACGAGTAGCGCTGTCTCAAAAGTCAGTCAGCAGCTGTATACTTACGGTTTTTGTACAGAAGTAAGTAGGTACGTAAGTATGTTCATAAGTGGGTAAACGAAATTTGCACAGAAAAATCGATACAAATACTTATGTGTGTACATGTGTGTGTGGAAATTAGAGTAAGGTGGATGGGCGCAATACTATAAATATGTATGCCATTTGACATATTTGGAATATTCAAATGCGGTCGCTAGCATACGTACCAGTTATACCGGTGTTTTTGAGGTCCGAAAAATTGATATCCCGAAAAATTTGAAATATCGCATTGATAGTAAGAACTTGTTTATGAATTTTAAAGTACACTGCCGGAACAAAGTATTGGCACAGCAAATTTATCACAATATATGCAACAACTTTCATTCTAATATTTTTCCGCTAATTTCGTATAAAAATATGGTTCATTCTACAACAAAAAAAAAAAAAAACATAAAAATATAATTCCTAAACTTTGTGTAAAACTCTCGAAAATTCAGCAAATTTTCATGAAAATTTTCAACTTTTTAATCAGATTTTTTAGAATTTTTTTGAGTATGCAGATTTGTAGCCCAATCAATTTTATTGTAATAAAGTGCAGGTTTTAAGTAGCTGGGTCTCTTCCATACAAAAAATTTGTTTCGAAAATACTTTGTATGGAAAAAATGCAAAACACCTTCAATAAAAAAATTCTCAAAAATCAACACGGTTTGTGACAAACTCCGAACTTGCATTTTTTTTTACTAGAATTAAATGGGCAGCAAAACTGCATACTCAAAAAAATTCTAAAAAATCTGTTTAAAAAGTTGAAAATTTTTATGAAAATTTCTTGAATTTTTTGCACAAAGTTTAGGAATTATATTTTTATGTTTTTGTTGTTGAATATTTTCAAACAAAATTGGCGGAAAAATATTAGAATAAAAATTGTTGCATATATTGTGAAAAATTTGCTGTGCCAATACTTTGTTACGGCAGTGTATGTTTTTTTTTTCTAAAATGCCGTCTTGACTGCAATTAACAAAAAGCCTGGAATTGTAATTTTAAATTGAAGCCTGAGCCTTTTTTGAAGAAGAATTCTACGAATGTAAAGTAACGGAGAGTTTTAAGAAAAAGTTACATAATTTTTTAATTATAATTTACCCTATGTTCTGGTAAAAGAAGTTCAAATATTTTGTAGTGGAGGGATAGGGAGAATAATAACAACACCGGTACAAAATTAGAGGTGTTTCCTTCTAACCAGGCCCATCTACCGACATGTATTCCGACCCGGTGAATCCGAACCTGAGGTCTGTTTGACTCGTTCATCCTCAAAATTTTGAGTTAATTACGAAAAAATGGCGAAAAATTCACCATTTCTGAATGGAGCAGAACAAACATTTTTTCAGAATTTGTTTGTTTTTACATTTTTTTATTAATCATTACCCACCACGCAAAACATGAGAAATAGGCAACAATTGTCAATGGCAACGAATTGGCAACTCGCGGATGATTAATTAATGGATTATTTTGTTTGCCATCCCTTCCTCTGACATCTGTAGGAGGTGTTCGGGGTTTCCCTCCGCTAGTAGCCGAGCATAAATTTCTTCTGGGCACAAAACAATGTTCCCCCGATCAAAGACACCGCTAAATTGTCGAATTATGAACCCTTTGTTTTGGTGCGTCGCCGACGTGAGTACACAATTGCGCTTTCTCGCATTCTTCCAGGTGGTAAAAGGGTCCACACGAAAGCGTTAAGCTCCGTACAGCGTAAGGCAAGCTATGCGAATACCATAAAACATAACTAATTAATAACATTTTCGAATGCCAAGATCGAGCGGTGGTTGGCTTATGAGATCCCTGAAACTCCCGCCGGCGCCTGAGTAATTTTTGAAATGTAGAAGTTAAACTGTAGAGAGAGGAGAGAGCAACACCCTTTGCGACGCCCTATTTAACTCTTTTTAGCTTCGAAATTTGATCTCGAAAGAGTACTGAGGTCTGTCTGAGGATCCTTATGATAATGTGCCATCCACAGCCTGTGTCGCGATGGATGGATGGAGGATGTCTTAATATCCTCAAGCGACGTGAAAAGGTAAGACATTTTACCTCTTTTCGTTTCCTTTTTACATACAAACATACATAGATATACATATGTACGGGTTCTTAGCAATCGCTACGATCGCTATTTAAATGGTAAGTCATTTATAGCGACATTCATTCTTGGCTGAGTGTGTAGTTAGTATAAAAGACTTTTGACGTTGATGCTTGCAGGAAAAAATTTCAAAAATTTCCATATGGCGTGCAATTTTCTCATTACATGCCAGTTGCAACACAACACCGTGCCGTAGATCGAGCGTCCTCACCTTTACCCGTCGACAATTACATACCTTTACAGTCTCCACACATTCACTCGGCGAGCTACAGCAACTTAAATAATGTCTTTTGCGGTTGTTCGCTTCAGCGATTTCATCAACGTTTGTTTGTTTTTTTTTACTGCACTCCACTCTATTTTAGCACTTCCTTAGTTTACACTTCGATTGCATTTTAATTTTATTTAGCTCCATCTGCGCATTGCTTCCTCTGCCTTGCCGCATTTCTATTTATTCCATTTGTTCTAAATCGTCGCAGTCATTGCTGCTGATTGTTTGTTTACTTGCTGGCCCATCAAATTGTTGCGTGTTTGCTGGTATTTACATGGGTAAAATGAGTGGCACCCTCTGCTCCGCGGTATTTACATGAGTAAAATGAGTGGCACCCTCCTCCACCTCCGCTGATGGTACTAAGTAGGTGGAGGGCGGAGGCGGGGGCGAAACCGCTATTTTCGATTTGCTACAATAATTACATTGCATTACACAGGCTGGCCAGGAATTGCATTGCTTTGCACTGATTGCGCAATTGCGACTGCTGCTGCTGGCGGTGACACAATTGCCCGCCAACCGAGAAATGTGTGCTGCCAGAAATCCGATTAACTGTGGTTCGTGACAAGGGCTGTTTGTTCCCCTTCTTAAACACGTCCGCTGTTTGATTGACTTCGCGTTGTAACTGTTGGGATTGCACTTTTTTTTCTAATTATGTTAACTCCATTAAACTTTTTTGTTTTTGAATCGCATTTTAATATACTATATATAGGTCTCGTTATGGCAGCATGACACGCACCCTGTATATGTGATTACTTAAGAGGGAGAATAGTTAATTTCATTTCAGGATCACACTCCCTCAGAGTGGCCTCCTAAATACCTGCGTCACATAAATGAACTTGGTTCCGAACTAAGAACAGAACTAATCGAATCCCCTTTTTCAATATCATAAAAGGTTCGGCACACTGAAAAATGACTTTAGCTACGACATCTACATAAATGTGTTTCTCTGAAACCTCCATGGTAAGTAACCATCAATGTGCTGGCGTCATCCTCCTAAGCTCGGACTACAGATCTGTTCAATCCAATGATTAGCTTGTTGTCTCCCCACAGTAGACTGTGAGTTTATATGACTGCTGATTTGTAGGACTCACGGATGGAGGTCAATTGTCCTTTTTTAATGAATAATCCATACTTTTTGTATGCTTATTTATAGGCGTTTCGTGCGGCTAAGATCCTGTTAAAGTTCCAGTGTTGGCATGAAAGCTGATTTCCAAATATGATGAGAAGCCAGACCTTTTCCGACCACTCGAACTAAAAGTTCTTACCAGGTAAATTCGTTCGCCTGGGAGACAAGATTTACTAACTGCTCGCCTACACCTGCTATGGGCGCTCGCATACGAAACATCATAAGAGATATATCGCTTGTGTAGCCCGTTCACCGCAGAAGGTATAATTATAAAGTAGGAGATATCGCAAACTTGGTATCTTATAAGTAAATATGTGTTTAACGACTATTTTCTTCATATTTGTTTTGATTCCGAGTAAGAAAGAAGTGGTGTAATTTTGAGAAACGCAATTTAGACACAACCAATCAAAAAAATACTACTTTCGCAAGACTTACAAAAGGATTTAGCGTTGAAGTAAATACCGCGTATTAAGCCCAAAATACAATAACGCAGTGGCAGCTTTTCGAAATCAGCTGTTTTTTAGAAAGTGTGGTGTCCAATGAAGCGACTCACAATACAACAGTGGCAGCTGGCAGTATTGCTCAGTTTGGCCCAAATTTTAAGTTCACTGCCACTGTCTTCAACGCAGCAAACTTCGCATGTTGAATTTGACATAAATAAAACACAGCCAACTTCTGTTTATGTCACTGTCACTAAATAAACAAAAGGGAATGTCAAAAAAGCACTCCTGCAAGAGGGTCCGAGTTCAATTACCATCAGACGGCGGAACATAAAATATAATTATTTTTCTCCTTAGTTACGAAAAAGCATCTGTGCGCTTCACAACGACATATTTTATAACAGACATACTCAAATTTAAAACGAGTTGGGGTGGTGCTCTTTCATATACAATTTGTGTTTTTGTAATTTAGCACGTTTTTTTTTAATTCTAAAATTTTTTTCCTCAGTGTATGATTTCCATACTTCTTTGGTATTCTCAAATCGTAACACTTAACACAGCAAATTGACTGTTCTCAGCTGAAACATATTTATTTCGTCAATTTGCATATTTTTGTCCCAGCCAATTGCCGATGCCAATATCGACGTTATTTGGATGTTTTTTTTTTTTTTTTAGTGGCAGCAAATCACTAGCCTTCCACTCAAATTCATGAGTACGAACATATGTATGTACATAGATGTTTGCATACATAAGTAGAAACCCTCGGAAACAATGCAGTTTATTTAGTTCATAAATCATACAGAATACCCAGAGCCAAATCCCGAGCGTGTATGAGAGAGTGTATAACAACAGGAAATAGTTTAAATGTGAACAGGTATGTATGTATGTGTATTTATACATAAGTATTTTGTTTTTATTTTTTTTGAACTCACCTTAATCGTGGCAATTCGCAGTACACCCAGTCTGTGACTTCTTCCAGCCTAACCTCCCTGTGTGTATTGGCCAAATCGGATTTATTGCCGACGATTACAATAGGAATGTCCTTGGAGAGGAAGTTATGTATGAAATGAAAAAGAGAAGGAAACGTTCAAATCAATGGACAATAGTGTTTATGTGAGTATGTATATATTATGTGTGTATCAGGAAGGATACAATTTCATACAACCAAATGGAAAAGCTGGCAATAAGAAATCACAAAAACAAAACATTGAAGGTATAGTAAAGTAATTTTAATTTTAAGTAAGTATTCTATTTTTTTTTTTTGCATCAATCTTAGACACTTTTCCTCCTCCTACCTTTCAAGATCAAGGAATACATACGTCACGCCAGCAGTGCATTATTTGAAGCTTCCAATCCCACTCGAACCAAGAAAAAATTCACTAGACTTAAATTTTTTAATTTTGTTACTTACACTGTGGAACAGCCGTTTTAGGGCCTCAAAGGTTATACTTATTAAAAGGTAATATTCATGCGTGGTAGTCAAACCCCAGAGGAATTTTCGATCAACGTCATCAAATATTTTTTACAGTGGGTTAAAGTTAGGGTTGCCAGATTTTTTATGCGCGAAATCAGTACGTTAGACTTTTTCATGCTAAGAAAATCAGTACTTTTCAGTACATTTTTAATCAAAGCAAAATTATGATTTAGAATTTTCTGCAGCGAATTTCTCGCTGGGATTTAATATTTGTGATATTGTAGAGAAGACCTTCCGTTTTTTCTCATTTCTGTTATATTTTATTCTCTGATTTTATTTGTTGCGTATGTCACATTACTCTCCAAGTAGTTGACAAATTGTTTTGCTTATCACCAATTGACACGCCCATCAAACAGAAATGATCGTACTCTGAATTGGCTATAGCATATACATACATATGTATGTACATGTTTTACACTATGCAATTCCAATTTAGTTAGGGATTTTTGCCATTGACGGGTTAATATTGAAAATAAAATGACTTTTCCACACCCCAAATGCTTTTGTGTGAAATTGTATTATTTACTTGCAATTTTTAATTAATTTCTGTTATGGAAATGTAAAATATTTGCGAAATTTAATTGGAAGAATGCAAGTTCATACATATAGAAAGGCCCTATCTCATACCGTCGCTGAAATACAAAAAGTTGTAACTATTTATATTACATTATTATTATAAGTAATTTTATTCAGTTACGGCTTTTTTGCATTTCAGCGACGATATGAGATGTTAGGTTAACGAAATGTATGTATGTAACAAGCATAAAAAAGTTGGAATTTTTGTTGCGCATGGAGCATAAATATTTAAACTTTTTAACAGAAAATGTTTTTGGCATTAAATTGGGGTAAATTTTGTAAAAACGAATTCTGTTAGTTAGCCTTTGTGTAAAACTATGAGAATGTATCTATTTACTCAAGCAGCTTGATAAACTTTGCTAATATAAAACAAAACTCCAAATTTGTAAGCTTCTAAATTAGCGGAACTGTAAATTGGTAATATTTATAGAACTATTTGGCTTGCCGTATGATTTATTTTCCCCCCCACTTCTTTGTCGCTTTGCAAAATTCTAATTTTTTATTTGGTTGTTGTCCAACTTAAGTACTTACCTGATAGTCTGCGCGCTGTTCGCGTATCTCTTCGAAACACTGTTTGACACATTGAAAACTTGCCGCCGATGTTGACGCATAGACCAGCATGAACGCATGGGCGGTGGCAATGGACAGACGTCGCATGGCGGGAAATTGCATATCGCCGGATGTGTCTAAGATGTCAACCTGGAAATATGAATTGAATTGAAAAGAAGCAGTGATTATTTTTATTTTGGGAATATTTATTTAGTATCTATTAAAAATAAAAAAGATGACGTGAGAAAAATTACAAAGAGCTTACAAAAAAAAAAAAATTAATAAAGTTTTTTTTAACGTTTTTTTTTCGTCCTATAGCTTTTCCCAAATGGGTCGAGACTACCTTTGATTTTGATCAGAAAAAAATACACTGAAACTGAAACGAAAATGAAAGATTTTAAATTTTTTGATATCTCTAATCTGTAGTTTTCGAACCAGTATTACTTAAATTTAAAGAAATAACACCAAAAAGAAATTTAGCCATTAGGTGATGCGGGGACGGATTTTTCATTTTTATGCCCCTAATAAAAGCTTGTCTTAAATTTTTTTTTTTTGATTACTTGTTATGAGTAAATTGAGAGCGTTAGCATGTTGGCAACTTTTTAAACTCATTTTTAAATTTGGCACTTGGCCGCTTGAAAAATTTACGCAGTTTTCCTGATTTTGTTGCACAACTTGTTTACAAAATTCATCTTTCCTTCCTTTTATACAAATTTTGACATAATTTTCAATTTATTTATGTATTTAAATCGATGCAAGCAAAGAGAGTAAAAAAAAAAAAAAATTACGTCGCACGTGGCGTATGAGCAATCTCTTGGACTCTGCAAAGAATTCTAAACATGCCAATTATTGTTTCGCTATAAGCAGTTTATTGCATTGCCTTTCAGATGAACGAACATATGCACGTTATTGAATTTGCAAATTTTCTTTTATTATTTTGTTCACTCACAATGCGAAATGAAGCTACTTGCATAAAAACTAACTATGTATTTCAAAGGCCAAGTGATTTCCATTTCAATTTCCCTGCAAACGAATGGAAAGTTCACTTACCAGCAATTCAACAATTCAAGTCACCACGGCTCGGCTCAACATTGGTTTGTTTGTTTGTCTATTTGTTCCACAAGCTATGTGCTAATGCATTTTTATTGCATCTGTGCATGAGCGAGACCTGAGCCCTTGGAAAATTTGCAATTAATAACAATTACGAGCAACTAATTGCAATTATGCCGACATTCTAAGAATTTAAATGCCACAAAAAGGTATTGATTGCCATCACATACATATTTCAACCAGCTTATTTATTTATATAAATATGTATGTATGTATGTAGGTATTTACTAAGAATGCATAATTACATAGGTACTCGTACATACATATGTATATGTATACACCGGTTGAAAGTTGGAAGTGAATGGTGAGCATTGAAAATTGAAATTTATTGCGAGGCAATTGTGCAGCAAAACCAAAAGCCAGCTGAGAGTGGCGCTGACATTCGATAGAGGAAAATATGCTTTCAAAATTGTTGCTTCAAGCTTTTAGATCTGAAATTGTTTTATTTTATTGCGCTGTTATTTTGTCGTGCATCATAAAATCGTCATTCGGTTTAGTTAAAAAATGCATTTATTTAAGCACTCGATTTATATTTGCTATAAAATGTTTAAAAACAACCACTCTGGCCATTAGCTTTAGGCGAGGGTGGTGACAAACATCAACAAAGGTCATACGCTGACCTCATCCCTGCATATATACATATATGTATGTATATTAGACTGCATCACCAAAAAAAAAGTTGCAGTTTTTCCGCCGGGATTACAAAATTTATTATATTTTAAGATGTCCACCAAAATATTTCGGAAAAATATTATGATTTAAGTGAGCTGGACCGATTTGAAAATACCTCCAAAAAATGGCGTTTTTTTATGAATAAAAAAGGTTTCTTTAAGAACTTTTTGAAAAAAGTCCCCTCAGATACTTTGAATTACTTTATTAACAAAGAAATAAAAATGGTGGAAAATACCGTTCCAATGGCACTTCTTAAGTCTAAGTCGGAAGAGTTTAGGTTCAGTTTTTCAAGTTTTTCTTATACCAATCTTTAAAAAAAGTTAAGAAACAGCATCAAAAATCTTATTAAATATTACGATTCCGTTCAAAATTTTTATTTTTTTGTATATTTTTATGTAAATTTTTTCAGCTTAACCATTTTGTCATTTGAGGGGATTTTTTCAAAAAAAAAATCTTTAAGAAACTATTTTTATTCATAAAAAAACTCCATTTTTGGAGATATTTTCAAATCGGTCCAGCTCACTTAAATCCTAATATTTTTCCGAAAAATTTAGGTGGACGTCTTAAAATATAATAGATTTTATAATTCCAATGGAAAAATAGTACGAATTTTTTTTTCTATGAGTAGTGATGCAGTATAATGTATGTTTTTGTATGTACCAATGCGTCTTGTACCGGAATTCGGGATCGTCACTAGACACGCATAAAAATATTTACCAAAAGAGACGCTTAAGAAAAACTTAGGCGAAGAAAGACGCGTACTCATAGATTTATACTTAGCCAAGGACTGTCACTTGAGCATCATTCCCCCAAATCTTTTTGGGGAATTTACATACTGTTGCACCCGCAAACATAGTCGACCGCGCGTAAATAAGTTTACGCGTCCTTCTTCGCCGGTCCGGGATTGGATGCCTTAGTATGTACATACCCTCCAGTACTGCTGGAGTCAATCGCTACTTTTGAACCGCTCCTGCACCGACTCCTAGGTAAGTAGCTACTCTATTAACCCGTGGTAGTGCACAGGGTAGTGCAGAGTCGAACCAGAGGGCGAAAAACTACGACAGAGGGCACCCATAAATCACGCAAGTGACTACTTTAGTAACTCCCAGTAGTGCAGAGAGAGCCGATGGTGACTACCGCCTAGGACATTGCCTTGTAAAAGTAATCGATGAAATACACTGCAAGTAGTCGGTCGGTAATTGACGGTGTTTATTAGGTAGCTACCGATTCAGCAGTCCTGTAGTTGCTCCCCCGTACTTCAGGGTACATACATTCAAATATGTATGTATGTGTGCGTACTATGATGCTCGCGCGCTGAGGTTGTTGCCGGAAATGGGTCTTATCGCATATTGATGTACATATTTAAATACTATAATTTATAAGCTACAAAATCGATGTAAATAAAATACACACATATGTACATACATACATACATATATACATAAATCCATATGTAAGGATTTTGGCTATTCGATAAGAAAGAGAACAACAAAAACAACGGCAATAGTAACATGCTATGTAGTTAATGGCCCGCAGGCGACGATAATTACAACAAAGTTTTTTGTTCTGCCACCGGATATTGGGTGGGTGCTGGTAATATGCAAATTAATTACTTTCAGCGACAAAAAAGAGATTATAGCAACATACACATGCATACATACATACATACGTGCAGGGACAACAGGCAGCGGTTCTGCAATGTTCCCTTTACCCTCTTATTTCCGACCATAACTACCTTTGCTTCGCCAACTGAGGCAGCCGGATTCGCCAGTCACCCAGCGTTAATCTCATTGGAGTGGGGACACTTTTTGTTATTGTTGCTGTTAGCGGTTTTGTTTTTGTCTTTGTTTTCGGTTAGTGAATGTGGAAAATCTTTTCTTTTTTGGTCTTTGTCACTGTACGAATCATTAATCAAATTCAAGCACACACACGTTCAAACGTTACTACAACAGGAGTTCATACCCTGCAGTACGGGAGAGCGACTACAGGACTGATGAATCGGTAGCTACCTGGTAAACTCCGTCAGTTACCGACTGACTACTTGAAGCGTATTTCATCGATTACTTTTACAAGGCAATGTCCTAGGCGGTAGTCACCATCGGCTCCCTCTGCACTACCGGGAGTTACTAAAGTAGTCATTTGCGTGATTTATGGGCGCCCTCTGTCGTAGTTTTTCGCTATTCTGCTTACGACTGGTTCGACTCTGCACTACCATGTGCACTACCACGGGTTAATAGAGTACCGTCCAATTTGGTTTTTTTTCGAATCTTGAAAAGCACTATTTAGGTGAGAAAGTCAAATGGCCTGCTGCTGACTGGCAATTTCATGCCCAAATTTTAGACCAAATTGGAATGAAACGCAAAAGTTATGACTGACAGATCACGGAGATCGATATTGGTTGGGACCGAAATGTTGTCTACGTTGACAGAAATTACTGGCAATGTGATTATGGACATCCGAACAGAGTTTGGTGTTTTGGGAGAAGCTTAGAGACCTCAAGTTTAGATCAATGCAATTATGTTGCAAAAAAGCGTCTTCGATGCAATCAAATCCTAACACAATATGTGTTTAAGAATGCTGAAGAGAACACAATCTCATAGCACAGCAGTCTTCCGGTGGAAGGAAAAGATCTGAAGCGGGACATAGGGAATCAGATTATCGCTTTTCCTTTGACACATAGTTCAATGAACGGAAAAAGCACGGAGCTTTTAAAGGCTCTTTTACACATGCTTTGTATTTACTCCGCGATTCCTATGATCATGTCCTGTAATGATGTACCACTCTTCGTGGTCAATGTCTATTTGGAGAGGTGCTGAAACGCCTGCAAATGATTCAGCAGTTGACTTGCCACCACAAGATGCGCTATATAGTTATTTAAGGTGCTAATTATTACTAAAGTTTTATGTACAACCATCAACGCCAGTCATTTTGTCAGTTGTCAATCATAGTTAATCAAATTCTCAAATTTCCGTTGTAATTGCCGTAACAAGCTAACTAATAACAACTAATATGTATACATATAAACTCGAAAGACAACTACAAACACAAATACATACATAGTATGTATGTGACAAATAAATTCCGTTGTCATGACAAATAGCTTATGTTCCGTTAAGTTACTAAACAGACGACGTAACGACAATATTAATCAGCCCAGCTGTTTTTGGCGATCTCTGCCACTTACATATATTCGCTCACAGAAAATAACATTTCAAATGGTGAAAATCGTAAAAGTCTAAAACATGAAGGCGGTCTAGGCTCTTATTTCCGAATACAAACACAAATTGTATATTCTGCGAATTTTAGTTACCAAAGTAGTAGTAGTAGTAGTAGTAGTAGTAGTAGTAGTAGTAGTAGTAGAATAGTGA